TAGTCCAGCCCTTGACACTCCTTAGGTGTTGCAAACCACGAATGGTGCCAGCCATCGGATCCAGAAGTTGACTGACATCCCTATTTGCAGGACTAAAAAAAAGCGGGTCATGAACGGTATCCCCTTCCAGTCTGTATTCTTCCTCCAGTGCGAGGTGCTCCTTCTCAGGTGCTGTTTTGGACGGGTCGTATGGAGATTTGTGTCGCCCGACCTCGTCGTCTGTGCCTGATTGGCAGGTTTCTGCTCGTTCGGGGTTAAGAATACACCTTTCTAGGATGCGCTCCTCTGTCTGAGGTCTTTTCTGTGCTTGGATATAACACGTGCTGCGAAGGGGATGTGAGTGTATGGGGTAGGTAGTGGTGGCTGCTTGAATTGCTCGATTCAGGGGCGTGAAGTTCTTCATGGTTTTCGATTGTGGTTGCTATCAGGTCGATGGATCTGTGATGCGAAGTTCAGGGCGGAGAGATTGACGTTTGTAGATTTAGGAGTTTACCCCGGACTTATATCCCAGTTGGGAATGACATCATCATTTTTGGAGGCGTCGCCTTCGGGGCTTATGGTTGTTCCTTCCATGGTTCAGAGCGGTAGCCCAATCTGGAAATTGAAATCATGTGGAGTGCCCACCTGGGAGTATAAGCCTCCCCGCCCGCCCCCAACTCTTCCTCCTTCAAGCTTCAAATCCGTATTTGGGATCACGTTCTACTGGCTATTCGCAGAGCTCCATTGCAACCCTGCAGTGAATAAGGAGTTCGATGCGTAAATGACACCAGCTCCCATATATTACCGAAATTTGTAAACATTGAGCTATGACGGCTTGGGGGCCGAAGAGTGTTGTATATGCCCCGTATGCATCAAAGGTCTCTTGCACAAAGTATATGCTTTTTTTACCATCTTCATATACACCTCAAAAGACATCATCCGAAAGAAAAGACACATTCACAAACAAGGAGATAGTTCGGATTATGTATTTAAATGCTGTACAAGAACCTGGGGTTTCGATCACCCATTTCCTGGATATCCTGCTCCGACAGCGACGATATTTTCTCATCCTCCAGACCCTGGGCTCTGCGTTTGTTGATAAAACGATAGGAAATCCACATGAAACCGTACACGAGACCCGCAAATGCCACCATACCTAAAGTGACAGCGTTACCACGGACAAAGCGCGGGCCTTCGGAATTGGGATACAAGAAAGGAGACATGACTCCGCTGATGTTTCCAAACGTAAGCTGCAGGCCGGTTGCGTAGGTGCGTTTTGCGTATCGTGGCAGGTTTGTAGGCAACCAGGCGAGAGGTAAACCAACAGCAACGTAAAGCCCCAGAGCAACCATCAAGGCACCGAAGTAATGAACACCCGAGGATGAGTCTGAAATCAAGATGCCATAGCCAACAACTGAGATAGTGCAGAAGAGACATATGAAAAATGCACGGTGTTGGGTTCGATCGCTCAACCAGGCAACGCCCAAATAGGCGATGGCACCCAGTCCATAGCAAGGGATTGTCAATGCCTGGACCTCGGCGGTGGTCCAGTTGCCCATGCCTTTGATAATAGTAGGTAGGAAGGTGCTATATCCATAGAGCATGGTATCGATACCAAACTGACCAAAGGAGAACGCCCAGATCTTCCAGTCTAAGACGCCCTCTTTCACATCCGCCCAGTGGAACTTCTGCGCAGACTCTGTCTGGCCGATATAACGACTCCGGCGGAGGGCAACAAGCGCCCGCTCCTCTTTGTTGAGATAGTAAGCTGTATCCGGGTCATCTGCCAAGGCGAACCAGGTTACCACTCCAAGTAGAACTGTCGGGATTCCCTCGATGATCATGATCCAGCGCCAGCCTCTCAATCCACAGATGCCGTCCATAAACCCAATGCCGTAAGCCAGTAACCCGCCAAAGGCTCCGGCAATAGCAGCACTGCTAAACAGGTAACTTGTTCGCAAGGCAATCTCGCGTTTGCTATAGAAAATAGTGAGGTAGGTTATAAAGCCTGGGAAAAGTCCTGCTTCTACGACTCCAAGAAGGATTCGGCAGGCAACCAAGCCGCCATAATTCTGAGTGATTCCTGTGAGGGTTGCAACGATACCCCACATCACTGAGATTGTGGCTATATACCGAGATGGCCTTAGTTTCTTCAGTACCAGATTTGAAGGGACCTCGAAGAACTAAACATTAGGGTTAGCGTCCGTGCGGTGACTGAATTGCGTGATATACATACACAGTAGGTCACAAAAAGGATAGACACGGAGACTTGATACTGGTTGCCAACGAGTCCCAAGTCCTCTTCCAAACCGTATAATCGTGCATTTCCAATATTGACTGCATATTCAAGTCAGCCAATGTCAGTTGCAAGCGCAAAGGGATGAGTCAGGCACCCCACCCCCACGTACCTCGATCTAGGAAACTGAAGAGATACAACAACACCACAACAGGAAGGATATGCAGGTCAATCTTTCTAATCAGAGTCTTCTCGATCTGTTGCTCGTGAAGAGTTGGCCCTAAGTTGATTTCATCCGGCACATTTTGGTCATTAGGTGAACCGGGGTCAGGCTCAGCATGGCCCATGGTGAGAAGCCAAATATCAGATAGAAAGAATAAAAGAGGACGAATGGACTCGGCCCCTGGGCCTAGGTGTTTCCGGAGGTCACTTCAATTATGTCTCAAGGCTAAGGGAACAATCTCAGGCAAAAAGCCAAAAGCGAAAAGGAAGAATTAAAGTTGCCAAGCGCCAAGAGGTTGGATAAGGACGTCGGGACCTTGGCAGCCGATTGATAAGAGAAGTGCCTATGAAGTGCCTATGTACATAGGCAGTTTTGTTTCTCCTATTTCTTCGGATTATGTTTAAAAAAATTACATCATAATTTTAACATGGAGATATTCAACCAATTCATAAGGTACCATGGTAGTCCTGAGTATACATATATATGTAGACCTTGAAGTTGCATAGGATGATGTAAGACGATGCCTGCGAACATGCAGAGCCTGCCAATACACAGTCAAGTCAAACATAGCAAGCCACTAGTCTAGAGATCTCCGTAGGACATATTATAACAAGTGCCTTTTCTGGAAGGTATCAAAAGTCTACATTGACAGAGCAAAATAGGAAGGTCACCAGATCACAATGGACCGGCCTAGCCAGCTTACCTAATTAGAAAATCCGGCCCCGGGGCTGTCATTTTTGCCTATTTGTGCCTATTATTTGCTGCAAAGAGGAACTATTACTTTCTTACTCTTTCTGCACCATATTCAATTAGGATTGATATCTGCCATGAACGGAACTTTTTCCCCCTGCAATTCTGTTCACCCCGCAATGCACTGCTGACGGACGCACATCTCTCATGATTTCACTTCTCATTATGAGAAATCCTGCACGTCAACTCGTTTTATAGAGTTTCCCAAACGACTCCTGAATTAGCTGTTCAAACGTTTGCTTTCCTTTCTCTGCCGTACGAAGAGGTCTGGAGCAACGGCATCCTCTCTTTCTGTTCTTCTGGGTCTCGCACAATCAAAACCCATCAAAATCAAAAAGTACCGCTTCAACCAATGGCGGATCTAGTCACTCCTTCCTTTGGGAAGGTAACCTCATCCAAAACACTTGATGGCCATACTGGCTTCATTTGGGACGTGGCCCTTTCCGCCAATGGTGAAATCCTCGCCTCTGTCTCCAATGACATGATGATCCGTCTATGGAACGCCAACACCGGTCTCCAGCGGGGCACCGCAAAAGACAACGGCCATTCCAACTGGGTGCGCTGTGTGCGATTTTCCCCCACGGGCCGATTCTTGGCCACTGCCTCCGATGATATGACTATTCGCATCAGCGACGTGAACAACGGGTTCACCTACCGCATGCTGCAGGGCCACACCGGCAGAGTGCGAGCGGTGGAATTTTCCCCCGATGGAAGAACCATCGCTTCGGCCTCAGATGATTTTACCGTACGATTGTGGAATGTGAGCTCTGGTTCGCTGCTCAAAACCCTCAATGAGCACTCGGGCTGGGTACGCGCTGTGGCCTTTTCGCCTGACGGGAAGACTCTCGCTTCAACCTCGGACGACAATACGATTCGCCTCTGGGACACAACCACCGGCAATGAAATCCATCGACTAATTTCCCATGAATCCTCAATCAGGGCTGTCTGCTTCTCTCCTGATGGGAAGTTGCTGGCGTCGGGGTCGCAGGACAAAGACCTGCGCATCTGGAATACTACTTCTGGCGCCTTGCTCAATGTCCTCCAGGGACACTCTGGGCCTCTGCGCGTGATCGCATTTTCTAGTGATGGGAACCTGGTGGCATCAGCGGCCGACGACTTAACCATCCGTGTATGGGCTGTGCCATTAGGGTTTGCGTGCGTCCGTGTCTTAACGGGCTATTCGGGGTGGGTTCGGGCCATTACTTTGTCGCACGACGAGAAAATGGTGGTCTACACGTCTGATGACATGACTATCAAGATCTGGAGCTCGGCGTGATTCTCTCTCGTAGAGGGAAGATCATTTTCGTTGACACGGGCGTTTGTGTCTTTTTTTTTTGTTTGAGATACCCACCAATGTTCTTGATTCTTCGGATTAAATGCAATTCCTTGTGATTAGCATTCAACTTATTTAATTAATCAAAGGCCGGAACTAAACTGGTCTCCTTTACCTGGTTTGAACAGTTGGGTCGAAGCCGCTAGAGCCGGCCAAGATCGTCCCCTCCATTCAATACTTACCTGTGGACGCCAACTTCTCAAGCCCAAAATGCCTACTCATGCAAAAATGCCAGACACTGAAAGGTGCGGGGTTTGCTGCAGATCCGGCTTCGCAATGTTTGCACTAGTATGACTCACTCGGAATCTTCTATCTACATAGGTAGCCTATCACGCAATGGGACAGCCCTGTCGCAAACGCTTAATTGGTCTGGTATCAAATCAGGCAAGGATGGACACCCTAACTTCCATCGTGGCTCGATTTGATGGAATATACCCTTCAACATTGCTATCTTTCCAATATCTTTATTGTCTGAGACTATGGGCCAACTAATTTCAAATGGCGATCCTCGAGTCTATGATGGAATCAACAACAAACCCGCAATCACAGAAAATGCTCTCCAAGAAACCGCCGAGATACGACAAAGCCACCAATCCTTGACCATTGACTTTGAAGGAAACGACCCCGGAAACCCATTGAACTGGCCCGGATCAAAGAAATGGAGCATAACACTTGTTGTCTCTCTTTCCGTGTTTTTAATGCCACTGTCTTCGTCAATTGTCGCGCCCGAGTTGAGCACCATCAAAGACGAACTGTACATGGGCAGCTCACTAGAAGCAGTCCTAGTCCTCTCAACCTTCGTCCTGACCTACTGTCTTGGCCCTTTGATACTCGGCCCATTGAGCGAGATATTTGGAAGAGCCGCAGTCTTGCACTCGGGGAATTCTTTCTACCTGATCTTTAACCTGGTATGTGGGTTCGCTCGAAATAAAGGTGAGTTACTCGCTTCTCGTCTACTCAGTGGCATTGGAGGCGCCGGTGGACTGGTTGTGAGTATCCCCCTTCCTCTACGCCTAGGTCATGCTCTAATGCACCAAACATAGGTGGGTGCGGGCATCATTAGCGACTGTTTTCCCAAAGAAGAGCGCGGCTGGGTTATTGCCATCTACAATCTTGGGCCTGTCTTTGGACCTTCTCTGGGCGCTGTCGTTGGAGGGTTTATCACCCAATACACGACATGGCGCTGGGCATTCTGGGCAACGTCTATCTTTGACGGGGCCTTGATCGTGCTTGGTTTACTTGTTATGGAGGAGACATATCCACCCGTCATCCTTGCGAGGAGAAAAGCGAAGATGTTGAAAACGGCTTCGACAAACTCTCCCCTACTGAAGACACCTTACGAGAAACCCGACCAGACTGTCGGCCAGTTATACCGCAACTCTCTTCTCCGACCGCTGCAGCTCTTAAGAGTGCAGCCCATCGTTCAAATCCTAGCCATCTTTTACGCCTATCTATATGGGCTGATGTACCTTGTACTCTCAACATTCACAACTTTGTGGGAAGAGAAATACCACCAGCCCGCCGGCCCAGCTAGTCTAAACTACCTCGCACTGGGAATCGGATATTTCCTCGGCTCGCAGGTATGCGGGTTCCTCGCGGATCCAATTTACCGAGCCCTGAAGAAGAAGCATGACGACAATGGCAAACCAGAATTCAGAGTAGTTCTCATGTTCCCCGCTTCGATCCTTGCCCCAGTCGGTCTGCTGTGGTACGGATGGGGAGCGCAGGCCGTCACACATTGGATTGTGCCTGATCTTGGCATCGGGCTGTTCGCCGGCGCTGCGATGATTCTGTTCCAATGTACTAGTGCATATCTGTATGAGGCTTTTACTTTGTATGCGGCTAGTGCGACGGGTGCTGTTTACATTCTTCGTGGACTGACGGGGTTTGGATTTCCTCTATTCGGTCCAAGGATGTATCAGTCGTTGGGTTATGGATGGGGGACTACGATGCTTGCTCTTGTTGCTGTTGTTATGGGCTGCCCAGTACCTATTGTTCTTTGGAGATATGGTGAGCGACTTAGAGCTCGGAGTAGTTATGCTACTGGATAAAGTATGGATGGCTTAAAAGCTATAATTCATTTCACTTTCTACGTATTACGCAAGGATACTCTATGAAACAGGATATTTTGGGCAACACGTTAATGCATAAAGCTAGTATGAATCTACGTAACCTCGGTACAATCCACCTCCGCATTTCACACCGAGGCTTAGCTGTCCCCCCAGCTTTGGACTTGAATTCTGTAACCTTCCAACTACCAACGATTTACAACGATTTACAATGTCTGACAACTACGGCAGCTATCAAACGGAGATCTACGGCAAGGGTGCCCTGATGGACATCCTGCCCGGTGTGACTACCGACCCCCGCAAGCTAGAGGAGCAAGCTCGAGAGTCTCTAGGCGTTCGCGCATTCAATTATGTCGCCGGCGGAGCAGGCGAGAAAGCGACAATGGATAGTAACCGGCTAGCATTTCGGCAGTGGAAGCTGTAGGGTTCTAGATTCTCACAACGATACTCAGAAACTAACAGATGCCGATAGAATCCCCCGGATGATGCGAAATGTGAGTTGGGGCAATATACAATGAACTACGAGTACGTTCTCGCTTACTGATGACATACCTAGACACCCGAGCAAGACGTTTCGGTTGAGCTCTTCGGTCAGAAATACGATAATCCCCTTATTGTGGCACCGGTCGGCGTACAGGGTATCTTCCACGAAGACAAGGAGACAGGTCTCGCAGAAGTATGCGAGGAAGTCGGGGTGCCGTATACAATGAGCACGGCGAGCACTAGCTCGATTGAAGATGTTGCGACCGCCAACAAGGACGGGAAGCGATGGTATCAGCTGTACTGGCCGAGGGACAACGATGTTACGCTGTCGCTACTAAAGCGGGCGAAAGAGAACGGGTTCTCGGTTCTGGTCGTTACCTTGGATACCTGGTCGCTAGCGTGGCGACCGGCTGATTTGGATAACGCTTATGTACCCTTTATCAAGGGGGTGGGGAATCAGGTCGGGTTTAGCGATCCTGTTTTCCGCGCAAAGTTCGAGAAGGAGACTGGATCGAAGGTTGAGGAAAATATCATTGGTGCTTCGCGGGCGTGGATCGGTGACATTTTCGCTGGAAGTCCGCATTCGTGGGAGGATTTGGGTTTCCTGCGGAATAATTGGGATGGACCGATTGTCTTGAAGGGAATTCAGCATGTGGATGATGCGAGGCTAGCGCTGAAATATGGGTGTGATGGGATTGTGGTATCAAATCATGGTGGTAAGTGGTTCTTTAGCCTGAGGGGTTTTTTCCATGCCCTTCTCTAATAATTTTCGTCCAGGCCGTCAAGTCGATGGCGCTATCGGGTCCCTGGACGTTCTTCCGGAGATAGTCGATGCAGTCGGGGACAAGATGACGGTACTTTTTGACTCCGGGATTCGGACAGGTTCGGATGTGATTAAGGCACTGTGTTTGGGAGCCAAAGCAGTTCTTGTTGGTCGACCGGTGATTTACGGATTGAGCATTCAGGGCCGAGATGGGGCCAGACAGGTTCTCAAGGGTCTTTTGACCGATTTGTGGCAGAACATGGGCCTATCGGGAATCCGGACGGTGAAAGATTGCGACAGAAATCAGATTCGCAAGGTGCAGTACGGAGGTGACGTGAAAGCGATGATGTAGAGCGTAGAGAGAGGAACGGACGTGTATAGAAAATGTTGGGAGTCGATCACATGTGAATGGCCGATCTTCAATAGTTGGGATATCAACTGGCTTATACACAACCTTGGACTGTAAATGTAAAATCTTCATGGTTTGAATATATATTTATATATATGTATTCTTATTCTTGATATGTTTAAAAATGTTTAAAAGGTCCAATGACCCGGGAAAACGTGATGTCGAAATGAATCTCGACCATGCACACCCTCACGCTCCAGCCTCAGGATCGACTCTTCTCCCACGACCGATCGCGTCATTGATATCTTTGATTGCCCAGTCAAGCTCACTATCTTTGAGAGTGGGCACATTCTTTGGCGGGGCAGCCCTGGATGGTGCGCGAGCCACGACTTTAACCGGCTTGGAACTGAGCCGGGCTTTGGTCGAGGGGATCTTGACGAGGGCAGGACGAGATGTCGCGATTCGTAGTGGGGATGAACACGGTAGGACAGAAGCGGAGTCTCTCCTCGAGCGAAGTGTATGTTCCTAAACCCTGCAGGTCCGTCGACTTAGTCTCGATTAACACCCCCCTAGTTGGCGACACTCCACACGACGGTGACCTCGGCATCTTTCTTCGCTGCTGCGACATTTCATTTCTCCTCGGCCACATTGTCTTCGGTTGCAAATCTCTCACAGGCACTTCTGTCTACTTTGGATGCCATTCTTGGATCCACCGAGTCTTCGAGGGCCATTGCGGCTATTATCACGCTGATTCGACGTGAGTTTAGATCCGTTGAACCTGGCGCAAGTACCCAGAATATCGGTGTCGGAGACCTCCTCATTGGCTCTCTAGGTTTCGCGCTATTGCAGCGTTGGGGTAAGAAGAATACTGAAAGGCATCTACGACAGAATGGCGGGGATGAGATTGTTTGGGATGTTGTCATCCTGGACAACGGCGCAAGAGCGGACGTGATCGGGTCCCATCGACTGCAATTCCCCGATCGCAATAATGAAGAGTTGGTGGAGCCTGGCAGTGCTTCCTTCGTGATGCCTGGAAATGGCGATGAAGCCTTTGATGTAGTCAAACGGTCGAGCATGTCTGATCCGTTTGGGCATCGTCTCTCTATTCCGTTGGATGGTCAGCAGCAAGTGTCCGATGAGGATATCCGCGCTTATATCATGAGCCAACTTCCTCAGGGCTGCCACGCATCTATCAGATCGGAAATCCTGACGGCACGAACGATCACAGTCGATGTCTACGATGATGATATGGCAGAGATCGCCGCCCCGCCTGGAACGAAAATGATAGAGGAGAGATTCCACCATGATCATGATTGTGGAGATACCAATACGACCGACAACCAGCGGCGGTTTCCCAAGCATACGGTGGTGTTTAGGACAGCCTTCAACAAATCCCAGAGCACTCAGCTGCGACCGTATGACGGCTCTGGAAATCTTGCTCTACCTGAGCCTGATCATCATAAACGGGCATTGCCGGACAACCCATTGTTCAATAGTCCGATGAAGCCCCATTATGATCAGTCGCATTTACATCCTGATGCCACACAGGGCATTGCTCCCAAGCGCCGTGGAACAACTCCCAATTTACAGAATGAATCTCCTAAGTCTGCACCTAGCAAAGGCACATTCACGAAATTCGCACAAAAGGTTAAGCCAGCTGTTCTGGAAAGGAATGAGGCCAAGCGGCCACCGGGAAAGAAGCAACCTATAGCCTCATCCGGGCCCTCGGGGATGACGAGTCCTCGTCTACCTCCCAGGCCTACAAAAGGAACAGCGTCTGTGAAGGAAGCGACTGCGCGAGAGACCTCCAGCAGACCTGCTCTCAAGAAGAGACAAACTGAACCTCTGAACTATCGACCGATAACCCCTGTTCCCAACCGGGGTTTACGAAGGTCGCCCTTCCCAAACTCTCCCCAAAGACAGTCACCACAGTCGCAAACAAAAAACGCCTCATCTCACGAAAGGCAAGTTTCTACGGGCTCGCAAGGGGGGCATTATGCGGTGCGAGAGGAGAGCCAGAAGTCGCTTCTCACTCAAACCGACACATTCCTCTCACGCCGTGGTGCTGGTACGCGTTCTGGATCGCCTGCCGCAGTCCAGACTCATGTTCGCAGCAGCAGCTCCATGTCTGTCACAAGATCGGAAGCAGAGGGGACTTTGTCTGCAAATGATAACCGCCCCAGCTCGTCAGCTATGCATCGCAGATCCCAATCATACACCCCCAGCCTGTATTCCTTAGCAACTGCAGGGTCTGAGACGTCGCTGCTGCTTGCGCATCGGCCTCGCAAGAGTGCGTATGAAGATATGGAAACCATCCAGGCGCTCAATCGTGATGGCTTTGTTCCCGGTATCTTTCCAAAGAGACACTTTGTGCAAAACATTCGCCGGTTCTGTCGGTTCTCCTCTGCCTCATATGGCTCGAATGCGCTCAAGGTCATGGGTGTTCCTAGTGGCTCGAAGAATATACCTAGTACGAAGTCAGACGGCCACGAGCACAGTGCGTTCTCAGAGAATGCAGGTCTGCCACCGTCCACCATCCTCCTATCGTCATTCGTCGATCCAGCTGGTGGCTCGAACGCAGCTGGTGAGACAGAGACGGGCTTCCCACTAGTCCACTATCTTTCCATCGACCATGACTCCAAAGCCGTGGTTCTGACTCTACGAGGAACTTGGGGCTTCGAGGACATCCTCACAGACATGACTTGTGATTACGACGACCTCGAATGGCAAGGCAAAAGCTGGAAGGTGCACAAAGGCATGCACGCCTCAGCCAAGCGGCTCCTAGAGGGCGGCGGCGGTCGAGTTATGATCACCCTGCGCGCGGCACTAGAAGAATTCCAAGACTACGGCATAGTCCTATGCGGGCATTCACTCGGCGGGGGCGTCGCAGCCCTTCTCGCAACGATGATTTCAGAACCCAACCCTTCCACAACAGGTACATCGTTCGTAACAGCCTCATACCAGCCCGCCACTCGTCCCCGTCTCTTGACCGCAGATAGAAACCCCAATATCAATGCCCTAGACCCCAGCCCACCAACCTATACCCTTCCAGCGAACCGCCCAATCCATGTCTATGCCTACGGCCCGCCAGCCGTGATGTCCCCCTTCCTCCGCCTCGCCACGCGAGGCCTAATAACAACAATCGTCAATGGCTCAGACATAGTCCCCAGCTTGTCGCTAGGCATCCTACACGACATGCACACAGCGTCACTATCCTTCAAAGACGACACCACAGGTGCCAAAGCACACATCCGCCAACGGGTCAGCGATTCCCTCCGCCAAAGCATCATCCACAAATTCTACGTCAACCAGCCTCCGCTGGTCGTCAATGCGGGCGACGGCGTCGGTGAAGACGCCTGGGCCTGGAAGACGTTGAAACTGCTACGG